TTAGTTTGTGATTATAAAAGGTGAAAGAGGACGTTTAAGAAAATAAGCCTGGAACCATTTTTGTATCAAAAAGAAAATTTAGCAAAAGGATCAAAACCTTTTATTTTTATTCCATTCTTTAAAAATTCAAATGTACTTCTCTTTTCCCCAAATTTTAAAAAGCAGTAACAATAATTGCAATAGTTACATAAAATGTTATAAAAACTTTAGGATCAAATTACTTCCAAATTTAACTTGATTGATTTCTGAATAAGGAATACCAATTTAAAATGAAATTCTTGCATTCTAGAGAGTATTATAAACAGCCAAAATAACGAGGGAGCACTTTATTGTTTTAACGCATGCTTGAATGAATAAACATTTTGCAGATCACTAATAGTCAATAACATGATTTGGAAGATTTGGAGATGATCTGGTTTGCATTAAACATATTTACACTTTAAAATGCCTTGTGAATTAAGTCAAGCTTTACCACATACAGACGCTAAGAAACATGAAAATATGTAGGGTTTTACTATATTAAGATCACTAGATTTAGCCAGATAATTAGATCATTATCTAAAAGGTTCAATTGACCAGATTTTGAAAAACTGCTTGGCTTTTGTTTTTCTAGAGAGCACAGTCAGATGAACTGGAAAAAATTGAAAAGCACGGCCGGTCTTCCAAAGACAAGAAAAATCCCAAGTCTCTGGACAAACCTGAACAGTAAGCATGTCTTAGAACCACGCAGAGACACCCATGCTACGGGTGGACTTTTTCCGTTTGGGAGATATAAATGCAGTGTCTCCAATGCATACTTGTTTTGAATGAGATGAGGATAAACGTCTGTTTGTGTGAATTATATTTTTCCTCTTAATTTGGCTTTATTTCCTTAGGTTCCTTTATGAGCTGTCACTAATCCCCAACTTTTCAGAGCGAGTCTTTTGCATCCTGTTCCAGTCCACGTTTTCTGAAAGCATTTGCTCCATTCGTCGCAAACTAGAATTACTACAGAAGTTGTGTGAGGTGGGTTCTGGTCCAGAGAGAGCTAACCTTGAGTTCTGATATTTAATTTCATTCAACTGTATTCATATTTCAAAAA